CAGTTCCCAGCAGCAGCAGCAACAGCAGCACTACCACCACCACCACCACCACCACCACCACCTCCACAACAAACCAAGTGCTCACATTGACAGGAAATATTCTAAGTACTTAGCCGACCTACCCTATAGGATAGGTAGCTTTTCACTGTGCAGTGCAGACTGGCCTTTGTCTCCAGATCCTCCTGCTTGGCCTTCCAAGCGCTGGGATCATAGGCAGGTACTACTCCCATGCTTGCTTTTGCTGTGGTCCTGAGAATTAAACCCAGAGCCTCATGCCTGCTACATAATACTCTAGTGCTGATCTACACGCCCAGCCTTTAAATTTTTAATTAATTAATTAATTAAATTTGGCAGAACCTGGGATTGAACTCAGGCCCCTGTGCTTGCCAGGGAAGCACTCACTCCACTGAGCCATCTCCCCAGCCCCTTTTATTTTATTTTTCAAAAATCTTTTATTTATATATTTGGTACAGGGTCTTGCTATGCAGCTTGGACTTGTAGTAGTGATCTTTGTATTTCAGCCTCCCAAGTGCTGGGATTACAGGTGTGCACCACCATGCCCAGTCTCCGTGGCCTGCTGGGAGTGCCTAGGGTTCCAGGTCCCACATGACATATGGTTCTGGGGATTGAACCCGGGTCCTTGCGCTTGCCAGGCAGGCCTTAGACTGCCAAGCTATCTCCCCAGCCGTTTGTTTATTTTTTTGAGCCAGCGTCTCACTCTGCAGCGTAGGTTGACCTTGAACTTGTGATCCTCTTGCTTCAGTTTCCAAAGTGCTGGGATTACAGATGTGCAACACTACACCAGCTGGGATTACAGGTGTGCAACACTATGCCAACGCTACTGCCATAAACTTCTTAGACTTATAACAGAGCATGTTAATTTCTAAACCAGAACAGGTATCTCATACTTTGAGAACAGGTGAAGCTTCCTATCCTGGAGCAGGTGGCCACTAGCTGGACAGGGAAGGACAGCTGGAGCAGAATGAAATCATTCAGCATGATTGCATCAGGGAAAATGCAGTGGGTGCTGGAGAGATGATCGGCTGGTGACGTGAGAAGGAGCCGGACCCGGTGGTTGTTCAAAAACTGTGGATCGCATTAGGCTGGTGGGGTGCACACCTGTGATTCCAGAAATTGCAGCAAGAGGATGCTGGAAGTTTGAGTTTGGGCTACATCAGGAGTTCAAGGCCTGACTGAACTACATAGTGAGACTCTGTGTCACACAAAACAAAACACAAAACAAAGCAAAGCTTTTGGATAAACAAAAAGTAAAAACAAACTCTCAGATTTCCTAGGTTCCTACAGCTGCAGATGAAGTCCCTTGTACAAAATGGCATGGTGGTTGCATGGACTCTTACACATCCTCCTACTTTTCCTTATCCTTTTCCTTTTTCTTCTTTCTTTTTTTGTCTTTTTGAGACAGGGTCTCAATATGCAGTGCAGGTTGGTCTTGAGCTCACTTTGCGGCCCAGGCTGGCCTCGAACTCACAACGATCTTCCTATCTCTGCCTTCTGAGTGCTCTGTATGCCTACATTCTCCCTCCCCCTCCCCCGCTCATTCCTCCCCTCCCCCAGTTCAGGCTGGTCTTGAACTCACTATGTAGCCAGAATGTCCTTGAACTCAGTGGGATTCGTGCCTCAACCTCATGAATACTGGCATTACAGGTACGCATTACCACAGCTGGCTGAGAGTTCTTTGTATTCAAATGAAATGGAGAGCATTAGGAGAAAAAAATGAAGAATTTTTTAGTTTTTTATATTATTATTATTATTATTATTATTATTATTATTATTATTATTATTATTATTATTATTGGTGGACCAGGGGATTGAACTCAGGCCCTTGCGCTTACCAGGGAAGTGCTTATTCTACTGAGCTATCTCCCCAGCCCCCAAGAACTTTTTTAAAAAGAGAATAAAAATAGTAAAAAAACAAAAAACAAAAAACATTAGAAATGACACAGAATTTCACTAAACAAAATAACAGCAGTTCAACAATGGTTGTTGTATTGCATAATGTCGTCTTCAAATTTGTTGTTTAGAAGAATTTTTTTTTTTACGTGTTTAGTACAGGGTCTAAAGGGTGTCACTACGCAGATTGGACTCAGTGATTGTTTTCAGCCTTGAAAGCGCTAGGATTACAGGTAGGCGGACAGTGTCAATCAAGGTGTCAGGGTGCCCCAGGGGTGGGGCCGGCTCTGCACGCCGGTATCGAACCCCAGTCACTGTGTTTACAAGAATTTTGAAGTTATATAGATGTGGATGAAGCTGGGTATGGGGCACATAGTTGTAAGTTCTAGTTTTCCAGGAGGCTGAGGCAGGAGGATCACAATTTCAAGCTAGCCTAGGGAACTTAATGAGCGTCTCCCTCTAAATCACTCTGTCCTTTAAAAAAAAAAAAGTCAAGGATGTGGCTTAGCACTTCTTGTGTTCAATCCTCAGACGGGAGTTAAAACTCTGCCTGTTATTTCTCAGGTATAATATCTTTAATGGGTTAGGTGGGCATTTGTCAAATCAAAGTTCATCTTCTTGTTCTAAGCCATAATAGTCTCTGGTCATAGTCTTATTTCCAGAGTTACTCTTTTGTTTCAATCTTCATAGAATACCCCCAGGAACTGCTTTGTTTGTTTGTTTGTTTTGGTGGTGATGGTACTAGAGGTTGAATTCAGGGTCTTTCTACTAAACTTACACCCCAAGTCCTTTTATTTTTTATTTTGAGATATGGTCACACTAAATTATGTGGGATGAGCTCAAATTTAGGATCTTCCTGCCCCAACCTCCTAGTGCTCAGGTGATAATGACTATAATGATGCTAATTTGCAACAAAATCTCACTTTATAGTTCAGGGTGGCCTTTTTCTTTTCTTTTCTTTTTTTTCAGAGTGGTCTTGAACATATAGCCCAGACTGGTCTTGAATTTGTGGTGATCCTTCTGCTTCAGCCTCCCCAGAGTTAGGATTAAAGGTGTATGCCACCACACCGGGCTTAGGTATTTTACTCAAATGGCTCAGGTTTTTACTTAAATGCCTTTTCAGTGAAAACTTTTCCTACCTTCCCCTACTTAGTTTTTCTTTTCCTGGGTTTCAGCTGTCTATAGTCAACTGTCATCTGAAAATACTAGTTGGAAAATTCCAGAAATAAACAACTCATAGGTTTTATTTTATTTTTGCAGAACTGGGGATCGAACCCAGGCCCTTGCGCTTGCCAGGCAAGCACTTAATCTACTGAGCTACCTTTCCAGCCCCAGTTTGTAGGTTTTAAATTGCATGCTGTGTCAAGGTATTGCAGTGCTTTGCAAGAGTAATGATGCTGGCAATGTGGAGAAGCTATAGTGATGCTTTTAAGCGAAAAAGATCAAAGTTGTCAACCTAATAAGAAACAAAGAAATTAAATACAAAGGCTAAGATGTAAGAGTGAATCTTCTCCCCATGAAATTATGAGGAAGAAAAATCTGGGGTAATTTTGTTGTCCCAAAAGTTATGGTCACAGTACATGTTCATGCCTGGTTAGGGAAAAGGCATTAAATTTGTGGGTAAAAACATGAATGGAAAATGTTTTACCAAGCTACAGCAATGTTTTGCTATTAACATTAAGCTTATACAAGTCTATTTTTTAAAATTATTATTATTATTATTATTATTATTATTATTATTATTTTTGGCGGAACGGAGGATTGAACTCAGGCCCTTGCGCTTGCCAGGGAAGTGCTTATTCCACTGAGCCATCTCCCAGCCCTGTTAATTTTTATCATGTGTAATTCACAAGTTAAACTTTATTACATGGATATTATAGGGATATACAACATGTATAGTGTTATGGTTTGTGTTTCGATGCCCCCCAAAACCTCATGGGTAATAGGTGGGGCTTTTTCAGAGGTGGCTGGAATTGATTTATGGTACAATGTTAGGTGCAAGGGCACTAGGATTAAGGGTGTGAGTGCTACCTGCCTTAAGTAGCCTGGATAAGACAAAAGGGGCAGATAGACATTGTTGAAGCCCCGTGGTTGCTTTGCTGTCTTCTGTCCACCATGAACTGTTTCTTCGAGATGCCCTGTCTACCACACCACCTAGCCTCGGAGCCAGTCAATTATGGACTGAAACGTCCAGAAACCGTAAGCTAAATAAACCTTTCCTTTCTTAACTTTGGGCATTGAATATTTGGTTGGTTATGAAAAAAGTAACAGGCATACAGGGTCTGGCGCTTTAAGCTTCAGGCATCCATTGAGAAGTTCTGGATCATATTACGGTCAAGGAAGAGTACTGTATTCTCATTTTTCTTTTTTCCTCTTTTAGCTATTTGTATCTCTGTGTAGCATATTTGTACACTTATGCCTATCAATCAATTGGTTTTGCAGTGCTGTGGTTGGAATTGAGGGTTTTGTGTAACCCCTCCTTCACCCGCCCCCTAAGTCAATCCATTTTTAAAAAAAGTTTATCTTGTTTACTGTACCTCCTCCTATGAGCGTTTTTTGTTCACTGTTACATACCCACAGTCGGGAATAGTTCCTAACAGCTAAAAAATACCTAAGGGAATGTTTATCCTAATAGGCAACAGTCATGAAGTATTTACAATATAGGCCAGCCTCAGTCCTCAGCATTTGACATTTAACGACCCTATAAAGAAAACACAATTACTACGGTATCTTTATTTTACGGGAGGGAAGAGGAGAACTTGAGGCTCAGGGAAAATAAGTCACTTTCCAAGGTTACACAGTTAGTAAGCGGCCCAGAGATGTGTTCAATAAAATGAATGAAAACTCCATTGGGCCATCGGGGCGGGGCTGGAAAAATGACAGAGTGGGAGGGACGCGAGGGATGCTGAACGCGCGCCTCACACTCCGCAGTCAGGGTTTAAAGGAGGAAGCCACAGAGCTTTGGGAAGTGCGAGGCGGCAGCAGCTCTCCCGATTCCATCAGCTACGAGCGGCAGCTCAATCTCTTCGGACGGGAAGCAGGAAGTGGCGGCGAGCGTCGCGCGGGATGACGTCACGGGGCGCCGGCGCGAGGGGCGGGGAAGGAGGTGGAGCGAGCCGGGGCTGGGGGAGCGGCTGCACAGTCTCTGGGATCCCCAGGCCTGGAGGGGGGTCTGCGCGAGGCCGGCTGGTTCTGCCCCCAGCGTCCGGTCCCGAGCGGGCCTTTCCCGGGCCAGCCCTATGTGACCAGGTCCAGCGGAGCCTAAGCAAGGAGCGGGTCCGTCGCGGAGCCGGAGGGCAGGAGGAACATGACATCGCGGAGGTGAGAAGCCCGGTGGGGCTGGCCGGGGCCTCGGCCGGGCCCCCGCCGCGTTTGCTCGGCCCCGCCCGGGAGGGCACGCTCAGGCCGGGCCTCGGACTCCGGTGCCGGGTCGGGGTCGGCGCCTTCCCGACCCCTTCGCCCCCCTGGGGCCCCCGGGCCCGTGGCGCCCCCACCCCTCGAGTCCCATTCATTTCCTGCCTTCCCGAGTTCCGGCTCCCGGAGCTCGGGGGATGCCCGTGTGGACTAGGGCAGGTAGAGCAGCCCGGAGAACCGCGGACGCCAGCGTTCCGGCTCGGCGCCGCATTCCTGACCCATTGCCTCATGAGAATTGCCTCATGGTGATTCCGAAATAACCCCGCGCACCCGGGGAGGCTCCTCGGCCCGGGACGCGGGAGGGGAGCTGCGCTGGGCCCGGCCCGCCTCCGCCGCGCTGCTCTTGGTCACTCCGCGCGGGCGCGCGTTCGGGGACTTCACCCAGGACCCCTCGACCCATTTGTGTGACCCTTTGCATCTCCTTTCGCCCCACATCTCACGTGCCAGAAATGGAAAAACTGACCGAATCTGCACTCAGAAGTGTTTCCCTTCTGGGCGATCTTAGATTTGGGAGGTGGGAAGGAAAGGAGCTTCACCTAGTGATGTGTTTAAGTCTTCACTACGACCATAAAACTCAAGTAACTATTTTGGCTCCCGTTTTACAGATGTGGAAACTGAAGCTGAGAAATAAAAACGTACTAGTAAGTGGCCGGATTTGAAACTAAAGGTTAGAAGGGGTATTAGTGAGTTAATAAGATCCTTTGAAAGTTCAGGGTCATGAGACTACTCATAGCTAACATTTACTTAGCTCTTGCCAGGAGCCACGCATTTAATCCTCGCAACAGTCCTATGAGGCCTAAACCATTAACCTGTCTTATTTATTTATTTATTTTTGGTGGAACCGGGGATTGAACTCAGGCCCTTTCGCTTGCCAGGCAAGCACTTATTCTACTGAGCCATCTCCCCCATTAGCCTGTTTTAAAGATGAGTAGCTTGAGTTTTGAAAGTTAAGCATCTTGTCCTGTGTCTCAGCTAATAAGTGGTGCCAGGATCCCCCATGTTAATGACCACGTTGCTGTTATTAATTTGTATAACTATTGCTGATCATTGGTAAGACTTAATTTTGTTGTTAAAACACTAGTGTGACCTCTGGTTTTCAGATAAGGAGCTTGTTATTTTGTGTCATCATTCTTTATATAGACTCACACATAAGATCCATTGTCCATTCTTTTCCATGATTGTCCAGCGATGGCCATCTCCTTGAACATTAGAAGAATGGTTTCAAGCTGTTGGGTCTATTTGAGAAACTTTTAAAAGCATTAGGAATGTCTCCTTAAAGCACACCTGCCTCTTACTCATGCATGGACATGGAACATAAAAGGGGAGGGAAAAGAAAACTACAAACTCTCAGAAAGTGAGTGACTTGGACAGGTCTCTTGGCAAGTGCTTGCAGACCTGGGTAATATATAACTGCATTTCAACAGAGCAGTGTATAGCCTTAAATGTTGTAATTCTTTAGGGAGCTTTTAAATAAAACAGTTGTCTATTCTTTAATCTGTCAAATAGTCATTGGGCCTTTTGTTCGTTTTGTCTGCTCTTCCAGACAAGTAAGGATCTGCTCTTTTAGGAGACAAAAAGACTGGGGGCTAGGGGTGGGGAGAGGGGCCAAGTAGTAATAGACCCTACATTGTCCAGCCTGTTAGTTTAGGAGCAGAGAAGTGTGGGCATAGCCGAAGCAGCAAGTAGTCAAGATGATCTGTTGCAATGGAATAATTCTTTGTCCCCTCCAGTCCCCGTATGTCTTACCTGTTATAGAGAAGCAATGTATTCACTACCTAAAAGGTCCAGTTATGAACAGACACATCATTGGCAATTATTGTAGTTGAGTCAGCTTCATTGGGATATAAACTGCATATATTTTAAGTGTACAGTTTGATGAGTTTTCTTTTGGGGGGGATAGTCTGGGTTTCACTGTGTAGTTCAGGCTGGTGTTGAACTCACTATGTGGCCTAGGCTGGCCTTAAACTCAGCGATCTTCCTGCCTCAGGCTTGTGAATGCCAGAGCGCGCCACCACACCTGGCTGATTTGATAACTTTGGATATGGGTATGTGTTTGGGAAAGCATCACTGCACTGAAGATAATGAACATACCTATTACAAACTTCATGGAACAGTTGTGCCCTTCTTTGTGCCCTTTTGTAATGCCTCTTAGTCTTGGGCCATCATTTTTTTTTTATCCTGTTCTTTTTGTGCATTTCCTAGACTTTTATATAAATGGAAAATAAGCAGGATGTATGTATGTATGTATTTATTTAAAGACAAGGTCTCCCTCTGTAGTCCTCTGTGGTCTTGAACTCAACTGTAGTCCAGACTGGCCTCAAACTCTAGGTGATCTTCCTGCTTCAGCCTCCTAAGTGCTGGAATCACAGGCTTGTGTCCCCACGCCGGTAGGATGTGTTCTTTTTGCTTGGCTTCTTATGTTTAGCACAGTTGCACTGAGATTTATCCACGTGTGTCAGGTCATTAATTTTTATTGCTTTGTTATACAGCACTCCATTGTAAGATTTAACTCAGTTTGCTTATGCATCCAGTGTAGATGGACATTTGGTTGTTTGCAGAGTTTGGCTATTGGAAGCAATGGATGCTTGGAAATCTTGTTTACAGGTGTTTGTGTGGATACATAATTTCATTTCTCTATGGTTTGTAGCTATAAGTGGAATGGTTTGATCGTGTAATAGAGATATATTTAACTGTTTCAGAAGTTGTCACCCTGTTTTAAAAGTGGTTTATCCGGATCCTTGCCAACACTAGGTCTAGTCAGTCATTTTACTGGATGTGCTAACTCAGTGTTTTATATTTTCTCTAATGACTAATATTTATTATCTTTTAATGTGCTTATTTGCCGTCTATATTCTTTCTTTCGTTTGTTCATTCATTCATTCTTCCTTTCTGAGAGTCTTGCTGTATACTCAGAATAGGCTAGCTTTGAAACCTTGAACTTGTGATCCTCCTGCCTTAGCTTCTTGAGTTCTGGGGTGATAGGTATGTGCTGCCATGGCTGGCTTTGTATATTTTGTTTGTTGCTGTGTTTATTCTAATCTTTTGCCTTAAAAAAAAAATCTAGTTGTTGTTGTTGTTTTGTTTTATTTTGAGCAGGGTCTTAATATATAGTTCAGGCTGGGTTTAAACTCACCTCAGCCTTCCAAGCGCTGGCATAATGTGTGTGCCCTAACATGCCTGGCTTCTAGTTTGTTTTGTTACCAAGATTTCTTTATAGAATTATAGAACCTGAATATCAGTGTAGTTGGAATTGCAAATATATTTTCTTCTAGTCTGTGGTTTATCTTGTCTGTTTTTTTTGACAGCCCTGGGGATTGAACTCAGGGCCTCAAAAATGCCAGCCAAGTGCCCGGGTGTTGACCTGGATCCTGAGGCATTTTTATTTTATTTTGAGGCAGGGTCTCAGAAAGTGGCTCCTGCTGGCTCTGAATTCTTGTTCCTCCTGCCTCAGCCTCCTAAGTAACTGGGGTTACACTCAAGTCCCACCATGCCCAGCTTGGAAGACCTAGAGCTTTGCTTTTTTTTTTTTTTTTTTTTTTTTTGCAGAACCGGGGATTGAACTCAGGCCCTTGTGCTTGCCAGGGGAGTGCTTATTCCACTGAGCTATCTCTCCGGCCCCAAGACCTAGAGCTTTTATCTGTTTGTTTTGTACAATCATGCTTTTGGTACCATTTCTGAGAAAATTTAACCCAAGGGCTCAAATATTTTTTGTCTTCTGCAAGCTTAATAGTTTTTTAAATTTTAATTTTAGTTTATTTTTATTTTTATTTTTATGTATTTGGTAGAGGGTCTCACTATGCAGCTCAGGCTCATAGTGATCCTCCTGTTTTTGACCTCCCCAGTGCTGGGATTACAGTTGTGCGCTGCCACACTATGTCTCTGTGGCCAGCTCAGCATACCTGGAGGTGAGGTTGGTGCGGAGGTGATGTAGTGCCGGGCATCAAATCCTGGACTTTTTTTTAAAATTGAAAAAAAAATTATTTATTTATTTGGTACAGGGTCTTGCTGTGTAGCTTGAACTTATAGTGATCCTTCTGACTCAGCCTCCCCAGTGCTGGGATTACAGGTGTATATCACCACTCCTGGTTTTGATGGCCAGCATACCATGGGGCTGGCGTGGCATGTGGTACCAGGGATCAAACCTAGGTCCTTGTGCTTGCCAGGCAGGCGCTTAGGCCACCAAGCTATCTCCCCAGCCCCAAGCTGAATAGTTTTAGGTTTATAATTCACTTTGAATTACATTTTACATATAGGTAAGGTATATGTAAAAAAAAAACCCAAAAAACCCAAAAAACCAAAACCAAAACAACAGCAGCAATCCTCTGCCTCAGCGTCCTGAATTCTGGGATTGCAGGTGTATGTGTCTATCTTCTTGCCCATGGATATCCAGCTTCAGACTATTTAATTTTTTTTTTTTTTTTTTTTTAGATTTGAGACAGGGTCTCACCAATTCAATAAATTGCTGGGGCTGGGCTTCAACCTGTGATTTTCCCTGTCTCAGCCCCCTAGAGTGCCAGGATGACAGATGTGTGCCATCTGCATGACTTAACACTGTTTATTGAATAGATTATCTAGAGAGTTTGCACATTTATTAAGAATCAGTTGTCCTTTTATGTAGTGATCTGTTTCTGGACTTGATTATGTTTCTTGATTTATTTGTTTATCCTTATGCCAGTGTCACATGTCTGAACTGTTGTAGCTTTATTATGTCCTGCAATCAGATAGTGTTTTACTTTCTTTTCCAAACTTCTGGGTGTGTGTTTCTTTTTTGGTACTGGGGCTTGAACCCAGGACCTTCATACTGACATATATTCCTAGCTCTTTTTACTTATTTTGAGACAAGATCTCTTTAAATCACTAAGTTGTCCAGGCTGAGCTTGGGCTTCCAGACCTTTCCCCTCACCTTC